ATTTCCATTTTGTATGTTGAAGTACTGAAATAACTGATATTAAATCAAACTAAACCTTAATAAAAAACCTATATAGACATAATAAAAAACTAATAAAATGACAACATTACTACAACTGTAACTAAAACTAAAATAGATAACTAATACAAATCAAACTACATTAGTTTATCAGTAATCCTAAAAATAACACTGAGCCAAACACACATGCTAAAATAACAACAACTTACTGACACATAGTAAGAAATGGTTATAAAAAACTGAAACAGAAGTGAAACAAGTAGTAGGAAAGAGGAGAAATAAAAAGCGATACTTTTACGATACGGTAATTTCTTTGGGTTATTTGATAAATATATTCATTTTCATTTAAAACTTTAGGTTTAACTGATTTTTTTAATGATTAAGCTTTATTGCACCTGTTGTCACAGTGCTAAGAGGTCTGAATTTTATTTATCTTACAAATAAAGCTCAAAACATGCCATAGATAGATAACCCCTGTCATGGCCTGCCACAGAGACTAAAAAAAGAAAAAGAAAAGAAAAATCCCCATCACACGCAGTGGGCATCCTTATATGAGCCTCTAAACTAAAGTGAGTGCGCTTGCACCCCGCCTCATTGTGACAGCTTGCAGCCGCGTTGAAACCTCTTGGGAGCGGGGAGCGGATTCACTAACCTGCCGTTGTCTGCGGCCGACAAGCGCTTCCAATCTGCTGTTCTGATGGGGGGCTCGATTATTGGGACCTGTCGAAAAAACACGAGGGGCTAACTGTTTGAGAGAAAGACGTGAAAGGCAGGACAATAGTTTTTCATGCATGTTAGAGTTTTGGGTCACGCTGGGCTTTCAGAAAGAGCAGTCGCCCTCTTTATTGCTCATTAACATTGCATACATTACCATTAGATACTTGTTATGAACTAAATGACATGGTTGTTCGATAATCGCGTTTTATGCTTTGGAAAAAGAAAAGAACACTACAGCATCAAGCGTCAAACAGACTGCCCTGTATTTAGGGTATAAAGCACAAATTAAACATGTATTCTGATCTTGACTATTAATGCTAGAAGTACCAATAGCGGCTTAGCTTAAAAGTAAATATGCTATTTATTTATTTAATTTTATTTTTTTATTTTTTTACGTTGCCAGTCATTATTATTAATAGATTTATTGTTGTTTCTTTTGTTTATATTGTTGACAGTAGTGGTACTACGATGTAAACAATAAACTTAGTTTTTAAGCGATATATATATAAGTATGTTTCGAGTGTGTAGAAAATACTAAAATACTTTTCTTGCATCTTCATTATGTTGTTTACACTCAAATGTACATTTGAGTGTAAACAACATAATCATTTCTTTCATAAGCATGTTTATATATATATATATATATATATATTCTACGTATGCTGTTTAAGAATTTAATCCATTCTACCAGAACAAAACGTTTATTTTCATCATAAAAGTGTATGTACATTTTTTAACTTAATGAAATATAATGACAGTCATGAGCGTCTAAAGGGGCCCTCTCCGTTTTATTTTTTTTTTCATGTCACATGACACCAAAATGGCTTCCTGTAGGTTATGTCAAGCTGACTTTGGCGGACAAATCATTTAAAATATTTCAATTTGATTAAAGCTTCATAATAAAATAAATAAGCTTCACTGCTTATTTATTTGTTTAAAATATATACTATTATTTGTTTTTAAAAGATGCAAAACTATCAACATTCAACGTTTTTTTTTTCTAGTTGTTGTTCCCCTCAGAATTTCAGCTTTTTAATGAGACTGTAAATTTTTTTACATTCTTAAACACTTATACCAAAAATAAATGTGATACTTAAAGTCCCAAAAACATTTCTAGTATATTTTTGAATAAAAATGAGCTTCACATCATTGCCCCATTTTTAAACGCCTGAGCTTCATACTAGAAGGGTAACTGCGTGCCTTAACAATGTTGTAATTAGAATTAAATATATCAACATCAATGCTTAAATTTATCAACATTCAACGTTTTTTCAACGTTTAATTTTTTTTCTAGTTGTTGTTCCCCTCAGAATTTCAGCTTTTTAATGAGACTGTAAATTTTTTTACATTCTTAAACACTTATACCAAAAATAAATGTGATACTTAAAGTCCCAAAAACATTTCTAGTATATTTTTGAATAAAAATGAGCTTCACATCATTGCCCCATTTTTAAACGCCTGAGCTTCATACTAGAAGGGTAACTGCGTGCCTTAACAATGTTGTAATTAGAATTAAATATATCAACATCAATGCTTAAATTCAACTTTCAGTAGAAACTATAAAGGAATTATATGAGGAAAAAATGGCCGAATTGTGAGAAAGTGGTCAACGCGCGCTAGTAGGAGAGGAGAGAAAAGACCTCCCCACTCCTCATAATAACCCCATTATAAGGCTCATCAATGATGTAATGAAAGCAAACAGTGTGAAAATTGCCTGTAAACAGTTGGATCCGAGTCTTCTAATGAATTCAGTGTCTCTTTTAATCAAAGTGTGCGACCTGTGGGGAGGGGTTTATTGGGCGTGGGGGGGTCCAGTTTCCTCTTAGCGAGCCAGTCAACACCCCAAAACACCTCCTAACCAATGGAAGCGAGTCGCTGGGGACTCACGTGGAAGGGGTGCCCTTAAAAACCTAGCCAAAGAGTTGTGCACAAGTTCATTGGTTAGGCTTTATCTGACTTTCCGTTCCCCAATGTGTCTATTTAACCTGCATTACCTCATTTGCGCTTCTGTCTTCTTGCAGCATTTTTTCAGCACTCTACCGTCTAGCGCTTCTCCATTGCATTACCTGCGCCGGCACAGAATGCACTTGCCTTTTCCGTCCGGATTCGACTCTACTCGCCACAGCGAAATACCTTTGAACTGATGAAAACTGCAGCTGCTCAATAGGCGCGAGGCTCGCGTTGACGCCGCTTTGCTTCTGTCCGTGGTGCTGAAATGCGCGCGCGCTCTAAGTAGGCTACCTTGTGGTTTTACACTAACACTGTTACTTCAGAACAGCTTTTTGAAATAATTTGATAAATAATTCAAAGCTACCATCGATGCGTCTCGCGACTTCGAGAAATACCGGGACTCAAAAAAAAAAATTACATTTGCCAGCCGAGAGTATATTTAGGCTGTATCGATTTTTTTGAGGAGTGAGTGAGAAGCTAAAGAAAAAGAAAAAAGAAAAAAAAAATTTTTTGGGAGGAAGGGTCTGTGTGTACTTTATACAGAACCTCCTCAAGAAACCTCCTTTTCCTTTTTAAACTTAAACTAAAAGTCCTCAAGGAAGAAGGAAGTTTTTTTTTCCCAGACAGGGGATGAATATTTCTCATTTCCAATTCTGCTTTGGATTTTCCTCCTGGATAGATCGCAATTAAATCGAGCGCCATTCACGCAGAACTTGGTTGAATACAGATGATAATCTGAACAGAGGCTTCACGCAAGCAGCAGTGTGGAGATGGAAGCGTCCACCAACGGCTCCAGTTTTGGAATCGACTCCTTGCTCTCCCACAGGCCTGGAAGCCCAGTCAACGCGAAGAGGGACAGTTTGGTAGGAGAATGCCGGTCCCCGCTGGAGTTCAGCCCCAGGTCAGACTTAGAGAGCGGTTGTTCTTCTCCTCCGTCCCCGCGGCGGGAGTGCGGTGAGGATGCTGCGCAGAGACAGGGTCACCTGCTCGGGCTCGCGTCCCATTTGCAGCATGGGCCGATCTCCGCCGGATCGCAACCTCGGACTGTCACTTCATCCTTCTTAATAAGAGATATTCTGGCTGACTGTAAACCCTTGGCGGCGTGTGCTCCTTACTCCAGTAACGGCCAGCCGACTCAGGAGTTAGGGAGACTGGCATCTAAAATCGCAGACGACTTCATTGAAAAGATCCACAGTAACTCATCGTCAGACTGTGAATACAAAGGTAAAAATATCACATCGCTTTTTTTAGTGATATTTTAAAATTATTGCACATGATCTAGAACTTGACACATTTATACTGCATGGAGTTCAAGCAAGCTGGCTTTTTGACTACCCTTGGCTATGTTTTTTAAAGAATTGGGGCATAGAAATAAATAGCTTAAACTAGAATGAATTGAAATAGTTATAGTATTTATAATAAATGATAAATATTTTAGTTTTCATGCTTTATTGTTTATTCATTTTGTTCATTTTTAGGCGTTGTTTCTATAAAGGACAACAGATTATGAGATAAGACTGATGATAGATAGATAGATAGATAGATAGATAGATAGATAGATAGATAGATAGATAGATAGATAGATAGATAGATAGCATATGACATAATCATTTTATAATTCAAAACATTTTACAATCATCTCTCGTAAAATTCATATTTAATATTTTGAAATCAGTGAATGCATTTGTCGCTGGTGCAAAAATCATGAAATCTTTGTGATTTCAGTGCAAGAAATATAGTTCATTTGTTTACGTGGATTATTCACTATTTGATACATTTTAACGTGCTTATTAGTGCAGAGCAAAGGGAGTTGATACACATCATCAGCAAGTTTCATTAAGGATTTGTCCAGGTGAAATTACATCTGAGGGGAAAAAAGCGTGAAAGATCGTTTCCTGTGACATAGCATTAGGTTGATTTAGTGATGCTTAACACAAAAAGGCCAGTGAATACTGATAAATGTAGGAATATGCTCTCATTAAATAAAACGTTATTTTTATTATTGTTTGTCTTTATTACAAATAATTTGTATTGTTATAGTCCGTGTGTTTGGCCTATACTGAAGACTGGTATGGTCGTTGCTGATTCTGATAATTTAGTAAAAGTGTTATCACCAAAATCTTGCTCTCTTAGAGGAAGTAGGGCATGATGGGTCTCAACTATTCGCCAACCTTCAGCTATAAATCCAAATATATTTCTACTCTCATATCATAGCATTATTAGCTTGGCAAGTCTATAGGAGCGGTGATCAAAATTAATGCTCTCCAAATCAAAGCCATTCCATCTCCAGAGCGCTTGTAAAGAGTGTGTGCGCCCCTTTGATTTTTGCCTTTATATACCCCTTATATTTCAGGGATTTGATGCAATTTGTCCCAGTGCTAATCAGATTTGTAACGCACGGGGTCGGTCCGCTCTTTATTTCGCTCTTATCCCCGGCCCTGTGAAGTTTCTCCGGTTCTCGGTTGAAAGGTTTCCATCCCTTGTGGCTCAATTAGCCGGATTATTGTGCTCCTTGAGAGACGACTCAACTACTCGACTGGCAAGGTCTCTCGCGTCGTGTCCCTCTCTTTCTGGGTTCAGAGAGAAAAGAGTTTGGTTTAGATGGGGAGAGAGGGGTGAATTAAATATCACAACCCTCGTGTATTCACATTCTGAAAATAAAATCTGAAAAATGCATGACAGAATTACAAGCACGCGTGAAACCATCAAGGGTTTAGCATAGGATATGTGGAAACCTTTGACACCATAACATGTGATTACTTGCCAGAGCAGGGTCTACTGATACACTTCGGCTAACTAACTCATTCTAATCAGTGCCCTTTCGTTCTATGTGATGTTTCAGTGAAAGAGGAGGGCGACAGGGAGATCTCGAGCAGCAGAGACAGCCCGCAGGTTCGCCTGAAGAAGCCACGGAAAGCGCGGACCGCCTTCTCTGACCATCAGCTCGCCCAGCTGGAGCGCAGTTTTGAGCGTCAGAAGTACCTGAGTGTGCAGGACAGGATGGAGCTGGCAGCATCTCTCAACCTGACCGACACGCAGGTCAAAACCTGGTACCAGAACAGGAGGTGAGCATGTGGTCAGCTGGAAACAAATGCTTGAGTACATCCCAGCAGCATTAAATAAGAAAAGAAAAAAAAATCTGAAGAAATTAAATGGTAATTATTCTGATATCCACGTCATTTTATAAATTTTTCTTACCGACATTCGTTTTATTTTTACTATATTAATAAGATAATATGCACGTGGGTGTATAGGCCTATCATATTATTTTCCTTTGATTTATTAGTCTCCTGCCAAAGACAATAATAAATGTCAGATGATGTGGTTGCATCGGTTTTGCTTCACTAAAAATAAAGGAAATGCTACAGAATAAATATCCACATTTTTTACATTTAAGCATAACATTTTTAGCTTTTCATTTTTTTAAAGGGGCTCAAAGATTCACATCATTCTTATTTTATAGCTTAAAAAAGAGCTGCAAAATAAAAAATTACATTCTATAACGAAAATTGACAGAAGCAAAATTCAAAATAGATATATTGTACTTCTACAAGTGGTTTATTTGCATATTTTCCAATTGTATTTCCATTGTATTATATTTCCAAGTTAAATATTTGAAATGATTATGCAGCATTTTATCCACGAATGGTGCATGCGTCCTCGATTAAATAATATTAATTACTGAACTATTTGGGACATTTGCTGCCTGCTTTTTACCTTTTTGTTTATATTAGTTACACAATTAATGTGAATTAAATATCAGAATACTTCAGGGAACTTTCCAATAGCTCTCAGCAGACTCGTGGCCCTCATATTGCAATTCAGACGGTTCAGTTTTAAAGTAAATCATATTATTATTGAATTGCGTGGTCAAAATTGATATTTATACAGATAGGCAACTTAGAAGATAAATCATAGAGGATTCAGATTGTATTTCTTTTTGGGTTCTATGTTTCGCTTGGGAAAGGCGTGCAAGACAATAAACGTTGGCTACTCGTTGAATTTTTGTTTTCTTTTTGTTATGATCAAAAGATAAAACACTAGTAGTTAAATAATTTAAATCTTATTTTTATATACTAACATCATTCTTTTTCGAAAAAGGACGAAGTGGAAGAGGCAAACTGCGGTCGGACTGGAATTGTTGGCGGAGGCTGGAAATTATTCTGCGCTGCAAAGGATGTTCCCCTCGCCGTATTTCTACCCTCAAAGCCTGGTGTCGAATCTGGACCCTGGAGCAGCGCTCTACTTATACAGGGGACCTTCGGTGCCCCCGCCGGCGCTGCAGCGTCCTCTCGTTCCCCGGATTCTTCTGCACGGTCTCCAGGGCGCCAACGAGCCGCCGCCGTCTCTGTCTCTGCCCCCCCTCTCCGGTGTGTTACCCAGACCGACACCACCGCGATGAACGGCACGATTCGGACTCGTTACAATACATGGCAGCTTTGAACTCCACCATCAAAAAAACTATTTTACTGGTGACAAAATATTCGAGAAATTTTATGAAGCCACAAAAACAAACTGACACACAAAAAGTGATTGGAGACATTTTTAAACTTTATTTAATTATTTATTTTACTTATGTTTATATATTTTTGTTTACCCTAAATGTTAAATCTGGAGAAAACAAATAACAGACCGTTATATAGCCTACTGAACGCAATAATAACGGGATATGATACTACAAGGACGCTTCGCTTCACAAATTATTATTATTATTATTTGAACTTGTCAGTATTACAAATGTGAATTGTTGGTGCATCCCTGACGCAAAGAATATTTAAATGGTAGATTCATATTTACTTATCCTGATATCAAATCCAGGTCATAAATCGTGGGCTTTGCAGTGACCCTCTAAAATGTACAAAGGAAAAGAGGTGTAAATAAGAATATTTTCTTTTATGTTGAAAGACGATTCTCGAATTTTCTCTTTTTGCATCATATTTCCAAGCCTTACGTTAACAGGTGAGATTGACATGAGCAGCACATTAAAACCCGACACGTCTCTACAAAACGAGAAAGCAACTTAAAGAAGTGTCACTTTTCTATTTGACAAACAGCTGAATGGTGCGGAGTGCTATGCCTAAACAGAACAAGCAGGTGGATTGGACGAGATGGATTATTAATCGATTATTTTGTGCTTCTTTTTTTCCGTTTCTATAATCCTGCACAACTGCCAGTATCACTTTGATGTTGATGGGAAAACACCAAAAAGTCCTCGTTTCAGATCACTTGTGATTAATGAGACGTCACGGAGATGACATGCAAAGTGTTCGTCCAGGCATTGTGCAGTAACTCTGTATAAAGCCGTTGAAATATCTTGTCATTCTAGCTGTATATTGAGAATAATGATTTGTGAAGTAATGATGCTCGTATAATTCCTAATGATTTTCGTTCGTGCCCCCGTGTGCTTAGCGGTGTGAACTTCTTGAAAACTCTTAAAACTGCTGGATGTGCGGGGGAGGGTGGTCTTTAAGCAAGGAGAATTACTTTTATAAATGTGCTAATAAAGATCTTTCATTAATTTACCACTGACTGAGAATGTGGAGGTAGCCCATACAAATACTGGGTAAATACACACTCGTGTTCTCATAGACCATTCAATTACACTAAACCAACAGCCAATATAAAAGGTATGCTGGTGCATAATGCGCGTGCCAGACTTGAACATTGACACGTTATAAATGTATGATTTAAGAAAATTGCTATTGCAAAATTGACCAACGCCTGTACATTCCTAATGATTTTCGTTCGTGCCCCCGTGTGCTTAACGGTGTGAACTTCTTGAAAACTCTTAAAACTGCTGGATGTGCGGGGGAGGGTGGTCTTTAAGCAAGGAGAATTACTTTTATAAATGTGCTAATAAAGATCTTTCATTAATTTACCACTGACTGAGAATGTGGAGGTAGCCCATACAAATACTGGGTAAATACACACTCGTGTTCTCATAGACCATTCAATTACACTAAACCAACAGCCAATATAAAAGGTATGCTGGTGCATAATGCGCGTGCCAGACTTGAACATTGACACGTTATAAATGTATGATTTAAGAAAATTGCTATTGCAAAATTGACCAACGCCTGTACTTTGCAACAAGAACTTCATGCAACCAATGCATTATGATGTGCTACTATCTGCGACCACTGAGACAATTTTACCTTTTCACAAATGTGTATGGATAGTATAATCACTTTTGTTTCCTATGTTAATACCTGGATGATAATTCCAAAAATTTCAGAAACCATTTTTTTTTATTTTACCATAAAATATTCCACATTATGAATTCCTGGTAAAGCGATAAGTGGGCCAACACTAAATTAAGATTTTATAATTTATATAATTATACAAATAAATTGTATATTTTAATTATTTTGTGAAATAAATTGGTCAACACGAAGTGGAAAAAAGGAGTCGTATAATGTAATGATTTCTTTGTACCTCCAGAACTGAACTATGAACTGAAATGGTTAAATTGTCTTAAGGTTTTGTTTTAAAAGTTATAAAGGACTAAGTTTCGACAAGAAACTCTAAAAAAAAAAGAGAGATTAAGACCAAAAAAGTAAACCAATCAAATTAGTTACGCAGATTACGTCAAGTCATTGCATTTAAAATGTATCCAGTAATTTAATGAAAAGTAAAAGTTTGCTTATGAAAATAAACGTAAACAAACGCTTGTGATAGCAATATCATGAAATTCGAACTCAGGGAACTCTATTACTGGCAAATGTGTTTGAATAATTTTAAACATGACTGTACAAGTGTAGTCAGACACTTTGCTCAAACCCCACACTATTTGGTTAGCATCGTGGATTTAATTTGTCGAACCGACAAAAAAAAAGTTAATAAGAATGTCGCACCCATGGAAGTGAACATTCACCTCCCTAACCTTTCAGAAACGCATGGAGATTTGGGAACTTAATTCTACCTTCATATTTTAAAGTTTAACGCGACTACCTCTTATTTATAGGTCACACTTTAAATATCATTTTGATCATGAATCTTATGAGCCAGTCTCAATACAATTTAAAACGATGTTCATTTTATTGCCAGCACGATAAAAGGGAAATACTGAGAGATTGGATGCTGGTTGTGGGTACGTGATCTCGTTCTCTCTCACGCACACACTCAACACTTGTCATCCTCCATTGTCTCGTGTCTACAAGAGTAAAGTGACAGACTTTTTTGCACTCTTAAAACAGCATCATGCAGCACTAAGCAAGCGGAGTCATTTCATTTAGTTTTCATAAACAATATGTGGATGAAATATTAATGGTCACCTAAGTGTGTAATTGTTTAAGTGCCCTAAATGATCCCATTTGGAAATGGATTGTTTCCATACCCTTTCTCGAGAGTGTTGGTTTGCTGCTCTTTGCCAAACGGCCCCAACAGCTGGTCACCGGGCAGTGCTGACTGCGGCTCGGATCAGCAAGGGGACATCTGGTCAGCGGCATGACGGGACCCCCCTTCATCCCCCCTCCGTGAGCCTAAGACTGACTTTAACCCAACCACGAGACCGTCCCATAAAGCTCAAGGTTTAGGGACTGCTCTGACAGGGCGACTGAATGGGATATTAACGCGCAGACAAAAGACTTTAATAGCTTTTAATTGAACGTCGATAACGTGTGATCAGTCGGGCTCCTGCTGCAAACTTTCGCATAGCACATGTCATCCTGCGTCACATCATTGGGCTCCTGCCCATGAATCACTAAGTAGAGAGCGAGAAAACATTTTAAGAACGTTTCATAAATTTATGGCTTGTTTTTGAGGTGGGGAAATATGCAACAAAATATTTTTTTTAATACAATTTCAAAGTACTTAATTTGCATGCTTGTTTTGCACACATTTGCTAAAGCATAAAAATGGAAAATAAAAACTATAATAATAAAAACTATAATTAGAAGTAATGTTAATAAGATACGACAAACACCAGAATCAACTGTTCACCAAGACATTAAGAGCAATTTAAGAAATGCTCGTTTTTTGTTTGGAACAGATGCGCACGGAAAAAAAGTGACATATCAATTCAGATCAAACATTTAAATTATCACATGGATCTGCACATGATCCAAAGGAGGCTGATGACCCCCCTCAATATTTATGAAAAGGGTTATTCTTGCGAAGTGCGCAGCTGATTGCAAGAAAAGCTCCTCCGTCTTGTTAATAGGCGCCGAGATTTTTGCATGTGAATGGATAGTGGTAAATCCCTCGGCTCTTACCGAGGATTGTCCCCGGCTCAGGGTTAATGAAGTGCGGATAGAGTCTCGCTGATCTCCCGACAAACAAAAACACAACACGGAGAGCTTAGAGCCGCAGGATCAGTGACTCTGATTAAGCTCATTGACTCAGAATAAAAACCAAACAAAACAGCCTTCTGATGAAATTAAGAGTCAATCAAAGTGCAATTTGCATCGTGATTTGGGCGACTGTCTTTCTCCCATGTTTTTCTGACGATTGCCATTTTTTGTCACGTTGCTTTAAATGAAATTCAATGTAAGGAATAGAAACATTAATTTTGTCCTTTCTCTATTTATCTCTTTTTTTCTGGACTCTGAAACAAACCTGCTGGACATTTAATTTAAATGTAAAAAAAAATTAAATGTAATATAATAAATAAAATGTAATAATAATAATAATTAGTAATACTACTACTACTACTATACTAGAAATAACAGATACATTGGTAGGGTAAAATAGTAATTTACCTAAACAGAGATTAATAATAAATATATATTATTTGAGCAAATAAGTAATATATATGAATAGTTACAGATGAAAAGTGTTTCTCTAAAGCTTTACTTTTGTCAATTAATAGTAGAAATGTACCAAAGATGCAGAAATGTGGAAAAGGTAGTAATTTATGGCCAGAAAAATATTAACTCGGTGTTTACAATTAATACCTACATACAAAAAGCTTGTAAATATATTTTATTTTCATTCTTTTACATTTTGTATTATTTATTAATAATAATTTTTAAAAAAATCCTAAATCACTCATTCAAAATAATCAACTTCCTAAAAAGAATAATATTGATCACACTAAATAGGAAATTTTCATAATCTTCATCCTAGCGCAGGTGTGGACGGAAATCTAGGAAAGTGGGACAGTGATTGGGAAATTACATCAGTGGCACCTGCTGCAGGGTCACGACACCCGTGACCCTCAGGCGAAGGTGGTTGGGACGCTGTCGCTCTGTTACTCACATTTGTCCTCTGTATAAACTTAGTTGGCCAGAGAGACAAGGGGAAATGCTGGAAAACACTGTTGAAAAAAAAAGTGTAAAAAAAAATCTGATTCAGCAACACACACAGACACATTTAGGAAATGGGAGGTACAGCAAAACAATAGAAAGAGAAAGTAGACAGTGAGCGGTTCCCAAGGTACTGTCCCGGGTATCAAATCCAATCCTTGCCTGAAGGTATACGAAGTGTGGAGGTATAAAGGCCTCAGAGTGAGGTAGCAAGATAACTCAGTAATCATTCCTCCAATAAAACCTAAAGCATTTCTAAACTTGGGTCAGGGGCAAAAGGATTGACATACCAATCTTGGCAAATAATGAAAACACTCCTC